GCATTAGAACCAGGGACTGCTGGAAAAATGTTGTAAGAACTGTGTCGAGCATCCCCTGGTTCTAATAACGTGCCGTGCCAGGCCTAACGGTCGGCCGGTCCCTTCTCAGTATCAGGCGGCCTCCGAGGGGCCTCCCGACATATCCCTGCGCGGGCCTCCGGAGGCCCCCCGAGGCCCCCGGCTGCCTCTGGAGGGCCCCGGAGGCCCCCAAGAGGGGGCCAGAAACGCCCCCCAAAGGCTCGAGCCTCGGGGGGGGGAAGCACAAAAACAAACAAACAAAACAATTAACAAACAAATAAGCAAAATAACAAAATACACACAAAACAAAGCGAAACAACACATAAAAACAGATAAGCAAATTAAGGGGGGGCATTGGGGGGGGGAAACACACCAAAAGAAAACAAAAAACGAGCAAACAAAAAGCTCGAGCCTCGCCCCGCGCTCCTCGAGGGAGGGGGGGGGAGGGGGAGGAGCGGCGAGAGGAGCGGCGGAGGGCGAGAGGTGCTCCGGCGTGCCCTCGTCTGTCCCCGTGCGGTGGCGGGGCTCGCGGCCCGCCCCCCCGCCGCCCCGCCAGCGGCTCTCTCCCGCGCCACCTGCGCCCGCGGGGGTCGCTCTTGCCGGAGCGCTCGCGGCTGGAAGCGCAGGGGCGTCGCAGGGTATACAGTCGGGGCCCTGATTGGAGGAGGAGGAAGGAACCCCGCGGCGTTGCAGTTCCTGATTGTAGGTCTGTTGCGGCGTCGCAGGGTACTCCAGATTTCGTAATAAAGGGAGGGGGGTCTCGTTTCGGGGGGGGTCTCTTCCAGGGTATCTTGGAGGGCCTGGGGAAGTCTGGGGGCGATGTTTTGGAGGGTTCTCCCAGGGGGGGGGGTCTGAAATGGCTTGTCTTGGAGGGTCCAGACCCCCTCCCTTTTATTACGAAATCTAGAGTATACAGTCGGGGCCCTGAAGAAGGAACCCTTTTGGTTGGGGAGGGGCTCCGCGTTCCTTAATTGTTTCGCAGCTTGCCTCAGGTTTTCCTTAGGTTTCCGATATGAAATCGAAATTCAACTTATGGAAAATAGGCGCATCGTTCCTTATTTAGGGTTCCTTGGGTCAACGCCCCGACTGTAGTTTTCCGCGGTATTGTCGCGCCAGGGGTGTGCAGAGCTGGCCCAGCAAGCAGGCAAGTTAGGGCCATCACGCGACAACAGTCACGCCGCCCAGTCACGCCGCCGTCTCTGCCAGTGGGAGTCGCTCTTGCCGATGCGCTCGCGGCTTGAAACTCAGATGCATCGCAAGGTTGGCTCCCGCGGCATTTTTGCGCCAGGTGGCGCGGAGTTGGACCAGCAAGCAGGCAAGCTGCGGCCATCACGCGATACTAGTCACGCCGCCGTCTCTGCCAGTGGGAGTCGCTCTTGCCGGTGCGCTCGCGGCTTGAAACGCAGTTGCATCGCAAGGTTGGCTCCCGCGGCATTTTTGCGCCAGGTGGCGTGGAGTTGGACCAGCAAGCAGGCAAGCTGGGGCCATCACGCGATACTAGTCACGCCGCCGTCTCTGCCAGTGGGAGTCGCTCTTGCCGGTGCGCTCGCGGCTTGAAACGCAGTTGCATCGCAAGGTTGGCTCCCGCAGCATCTTTGCGCCAGGTGGCGTGGAGTTGGACCAGCAAGCAGGCAAGCTGGGGCCATCACGCGATACTAGTCACGCCGCCGTCTCTGCCAGTGGGAGTCGCTCTTGCCGGTGCGCTCGCGGCTTGAAACGCAGTCGCATCGCAAGGTTGGCTCCCGCGGCATTGTTGCGCCAGGTGGCGTGGAGTTGGACCAGCAAGCAAGCAAGCTGGGGCCATCACGCGATACTAGTCACGCCGCCGTCTCTGCCAGTGGGAGTCGCTCTTGCCGGTGCGCTCGCGGCTTGAAACGCAGTTGCTTCGCAAGGTTGGCTCCGGCGACATTGTTGCGCCAGGTGGCGTGGAGTTGGACCAGCAAGCAGGCAAGCTGGGGCCATCACGCGATACTAGTCACGCCGCCGTCTCTGCCAGTGGGAGTCGCTCTTGCCGGTGCGCTCGCGGCTTGAAACGCAGTTGCATCGCAAGGTTGGCTCCCGCAGCATCTTTGCGCTAGGTGGCGCGGAGTTGGACCAGCAAGCAGGCAAGTTGGGGCCATCACGCGATACTAGTCACGCCGCCGTCTCTGCCAGTGGGAGTCGCTCTTGCCGGTGCGCTCGCGGCTTGAAACGCAGTCGCATCGCAAGGTTGGCTCCCGCGGCATTGTTGCGCCAGGTGGCGCGGAGCTGGACAAGCAAGCAGGCAAGACGGAGCATACCAGTGACAGTGAGTGGAGTCTATTTGTCCAGGCTCTGGCGGGAGCGCCCTGCGCAGCGGCATCGACTAGATGCGCCACCTGACTGGTCAGGGCAAGCTCGTGCACACAATGATTTAACTCCTATACATTGGCCTTCGGCTCAACCAGCCTTCGTGCCCGGATCGTGATTCAGAGGCGTCTTAGAGGCCTCGAGGGTTTTTTGGAAGGCGTGTGGGGTCTCTTGGACGCCTCTTGGAGGCCTATTTGGGGACATGTGGAGGCCTCTTGAGGGCCTCCGAGGCCCTCTCGGGGCCCTTGTAGGGCCCTCCTGGCGGTCTCGGGGGCCGTCTGGGTGTCCTGGCGAAGGACTCCACATGTCAATTCGAGCCCCCCCTCTTGAGGAGGTCGTCGGCCTTCTCGGGGGGCCCTCCTCTGGGCTCTCCTGATAATCGCTTGGGCCGTCTTCAACGCTCTGAAGACCGCATTGGCGTTCACGCGAGAATCATTGACAATACTGGAGGTGGTTGAATGATGTGGGCCTCTTGGGCTGACCCTGGGGGCTTCCAAGATCACCCAAACATGTCGGCCCTCGATCCTCGAACGGGAGGAACCCGCGGAGAGAGTAGCGACGGAGGGCGGGAGCTGCTCAAGAGCTGTGTTGCCGTGCTGCCCACCAACGGCTCCCGCCATCTCTGCCAGTGGGCGGCGCTCTTGCCGGTGCGCTCGCGGGTCGAGACGCAGTGGCATCGCAAGGTAGGTTTCCGCGGCGCAGTTGCGCCAGGGCGCAGAGCTGGCCCAGCAAGCAGGCAAGCTGGGGCCATCACGCGATACTAGTCTCTTCCAGTGGGAGTCGCTCTTGCCGGTGCGCTCGCGGCTTGAAACGCAGTTGCATCGCAAGGTGTGCTCCCGCGGCATTGTTGGGCCAGGTGGCGCGGAGTTGGACAAGAAAGCAGTCAAGCTGGGGGCATCATGCGATACCAGTGACGGTGACTCAGGCATGCTTGTCCAGGTCCCGCCGGGGCGAAGCTCCACTCCACGTTATGCGCGGACAGATCGCCATGAGATGCGCCATCTGACCCCTGACCAGCCAAGGCGACGGCCAAGGCAGACCCGTGTATATAACAATTTGCAACATTTTTCCTGCGTATTGGCATTCGACTCATCGGCCCACCGTGTCTGATTGGTGGACAAGAAGCTCTTCAGAGCCTTGCAGGGTCTCTTGGAAGGCGTCTTGGGGCCTCCCAGGGGCCACCTGGAGGCGTGCTGGGAGTCGGCCGATGTCAGACGATCCGCGGTGCCGGAAAGCTGCGATCGTTCAGGGTTGCACCATGAAGTCGGTGTCAGAACCCGTTGCAGAAAGCGTCACGGCACGAATCTGCCGCAACCTCTGTCCTCTCGATCGACTTTCCACGTCCTCTACACTGCCCCCTCGGTTCTGTGCGCGCGATGTTGCCTCCTCAGAGGCGCCGATTGCAGCGGGGAGGGGGCCTCCTCGATATTCGATCCTCTAGTCAGCCTCACGTTCTCGCAGCGCCTGCACGTACACCAGATCATGGGCGCAGGTTTTATTCAGAAGCCAGGCGAAGGTTGGCAAACCCGTGGCTGCTAAAGCAGAGCTCAGGGAAATTGTTATTTTCTTCGGGGAAGTAACCAGTTTGTTATTTAGTGCACTGAGTTTGGTTATGGGAATGTGTTTCTTTCGTCCGGGAAGGCCGTTTTAGCAGCCACGGATTTGCCAGCCCTCGCCCAGCTTCCGATATATGCGACGTTGGTGAGGCGATGTTGACATGTGTTGCAGCCAGCTTTCAAGAAAGCCAT